AAAAAAAAAAAAAAAAAAAAAAGTCAGCCTTGTCCTAAATTTTCCAGGAACATGGATGTAAAACAGGTCTCAACAAATTTCTAGACAGTGCCATATAAACATACATGATGCAGTTAAGCTAGGAACCAATGACAAGAAATTAACTGAAAAATAGAAATACATTTGGAAACTAAATCACACTTCTGAATAATTTATGGATCACAGAAGAAACCAAAAGTAGAAATGAAAACATGGATACCCGAGGGCTCAGGAGCCTCTGCCGTCAGGCCCTGGGTCCATCTGTGGTGTCCCCGAGCGGCTGGGCGGCCCTGGCTGAGCTCTCTCTGGCTCTGAGGGCAGAGTCTGCAGCGCGCTCCACGGGGCCATGCGTGGTGACGGCCCCGCCTGAGCAGCTGGTAACAGGTGCATCCCGGCTGGACCTGAGCTCATTCCCTGATGGTTTGGAACCCAGGTTATTGGGCACAAAGCTGCATTTTGATTAGAGCCGTTACCCTTCTGTAGTCAAGTTGTCGGTTGCCCTCTGACCCCAATTATTTGAATTAAATAATTTCTTAAATGAACGGCCAGCCTCTTCAGCATCCAACTTCATTACATGTGTGCGGCCTGTTGAGTTTCCGTCTCTTATTCCGAGCAGACCAGGTGTTGCTTGTGGCTGCTGCCTGCCTTCTCGGGATGGGGGGGACTTTCTGTGCCTGATCCTGTTCTGTAGGTCTGGTGGCGCTGAGTGACTGAGGGCCCGAAAGACCAGGAGTGCCAGGTCGTTACACCAATGTCTTGTTCTCTGAGCAGAAAGGGAAGGCCTTGAAGATGATTCTAATTTTCTATGAGTTATTTTCATTGACTATTTCACGTCAGGGAAATACATTGCTTTTCTTCATGCATGGGCGGGGATTGTGAGATCTTAGCCAGTTGGACAACTGTGTTCGTCACTAGCGTTGCCTCCTGGGAGTTACAGGCTTGGATGGAGACTGGCTGGCTGGGGCATCTGTGCCATGCCCGTGGTGTCCCCCCCACCTCTGTGAAGCACAGGCTGTGGGGAGGGAGAGACTACTGCTGGGCTGTAATCTGGACGGCTGGGTCCTGGGAGATAACTGGCCAGCTTGTCCCTCCAAGTCCTTGCTTCTGTGCCCTGAGGTCTACAGAGGGACCAGCAGGACTGAGGAGCGTGTCCCTCAAAGCCCAGCTTTCTCGTTTCCTTCATAATGGCCCATGTGGTCTCCGTGTCTGGTGGATCCCACGTCCCGCGTGGCGTTGGCACAGTCACAGCCACTCCCTGAGTTGAGGGCTGCCGAGGTCTTTGCTCTGGCAGCAGCGACCCTGACTGACGGGCTTTCTTGCAGGGCGGGCTTTGACGGCGAGGACGCTGGGGAGGACACGCAGGAGCGCAAGGGGCTCTCGGAGAGGAGCCAGGCCGTCGGCGCGGTCCTCAGCCTGCTGCTGGTGGCGCTCACTGGCTGTCTGCTGACCCTGCTTCTCTACAAAAAGGAGAGACGGTAAGGGGGGGAGCAGGTGGGTCCCACGGCCAGTGGTCAAATCGCAACTTGGGTTCAGTTCTTTTGGGGGACCCAGCAGCAACCAACAGCCTAAGGTTAAAACGATGGGAGTGGTCTCCGGTGGCATTTTATAAATATCTGCATTTCTGTGACGAGGTGTCCAAAGATGGGCAGAAAGCTGAACACCTGTCATGAGCAGACTTCCTCCGGTCTACTCTTTCCTCCCTTCCCCCTCCTTCCTGTCAGAATAATCACTTATTAGGCACCTGCTGTGTGCCAGGTAGGGCACCATCCTCTTGGCTCCGCATTGCTGGGTGCAAGGGCTCGACACTCATTGTGTGTGACTTTCCGGATTTCCACGTCACACGTGACTGCAGCATGCAGCTGGGAGCCTTGTGGGTGGTCAGCCCTGGCCCAGGGGCAGAGGAGCGGGCCAGCTCTGGGCTCCCGGCCTCGCTCGTCCGCTAATGAGCCAGAGGCAAGCAGAGGACCTGGCGTGAGCCGGCCTGGGGTGTCACCTGGCCACGCGGTCTCGGTGCAGCCCTGGGTTTGGGACGGCTTGGCCCAGTCATGTTCATCTCTGAAAAAGAGGCGGCACCAGTGTTTGCTAACCTGCTCTAGGCCTCTCTAGATGCCAAGAGGTAGAGCAGGATTTGAGTCCATGCTGATTTCTGAGTGCTCTGGCCGCTGAACGGGATTCGCACCCCACCATCCTGGGTGTGGTGCACCCCACCTCGGGTTGTGCGGGGGGAGGGTGCAGTTTCTCCCTTAGAGCTGGGAGCCCTGCTGGTTCCACGGGAGTAACTGGTCTTTTGCAGGGAAACGGTGATGAATACACTAACCAACTGCTGCAGACGGAGTGCGAACGTGTCCTACAAATACTCCAAGGTAACCTCCCGCTTCCCTCCCCCACGGTGTCCGGCTGTGGGCGTGGCTGTGCTGTCAGTCAGTGATTACGAGAAACGCCATCACCACTTATTTGAAATAGAAAATGGAAAAACATCAGTTGTTCGTTTTTTTTGGTCATAAACCTCGCCTGAGGATATTTTTTCCATTGAGTTTTAGGGAGAGTGGAAGGGGAAGAGAGAGAGAAGCATCGATGTGTCACATCGATTGGTAGCCTCCTGCCTGGGCCAGGGTTCGAATCCACACCCCGGGTACGTGCCATTGACTAGGGATCGAATGCGAGCGGGCCAACGCACTAACCGCTGAGCCACACCGGCCAGGGCAGCATTAATTGCTTTTCACCCAAACACGCAATTGTCTTTTTTCCCTTCAAGTTTTTCTCATTGTGGAGACGGCCAGTTTCCTCAGAGCGTTTCAGCTTTAGGCTGCTCCTGCCTTTGTTTTGGCTAAAGAAGTATATGTGATAGTGTAAGTTTTGGTGCATTTGGATAATTTCCTTCAGATAAATTTTCAGAAAAGCGGCATTATTGGGGCCAGAGGGCATAAGTACGCTCCTAGAGCTTCATGACCAACCACTTTTTAAAGGCTGCCCCACACCTCGCCAAGCGCCCGGTC